ATCATCAGTCAAGTTCCAGTGCCCAGGAACGTTCCTGGAGCTGTTCATTTTCCTAGTACAGACGGAGCTGTAAGATCCATGTTTTATACCGAGGACTCTAAATGCTCACACAAGCCCATAACAGCTCTGATTTGGCAAAGAGCAAGAGGAACAACCCACATTTATTTGGAAGTGGGGAGCTTTCTGTGCCCCAGGTTTTGTGGTGGGTGCCAGGTGCTCTGCACACCTCAGTAGGGAGCAAGCCCTGTGCCAGGCTAGCAACTCCAGGTGGGCTCAAGCAGGGGGCCAGGGCAGGACAAGGGATCTGAGGAATTCCAGGCCGAAATGCCATCAGCAGCCACAGCAGCAAAGCAGCTGGGAAGACACAGAAACTGGGAAATGTTTCCCTTTCAAACAGAGAAACTGGTAGGCAAAGTCTCTGAAGCTGTGAGGCAATGCTGGCTCTTGAATTCTGTCGTCATTTGGCCTCAGTTCTCCCTTGAGTACCTGACTCTCATGGTATCAACTTGTCCCTCTCTGACAGAGCTAATGGACTACAGAGGCTTTATCTGGAGGCTAATGGCTCTCACACAGCTGATACAAGAGAACCACGCTGATCTGCAGTGGGGATTTATGGAGAGATGTTCCTGAGTAATTGCACTGCGTATTTCAAGCCATCTCTCTGCTGAGTGAACCCCTACATGCACTGCCTCAGCTTTCTTAATAGAAAATGGGCTCACAAAGCTGCTGATTTAACCAGCACCAAATTAAAATTCAATATGAGGATCAGCTGGACAAACCTGACACACTTGCTGGAGGGGATGGCTTGGGAGGGGAGATAGAAGTGCCTTTTTGTCCATTGATGGGAGGGCAGGAGGGGCACACAGGAGATTTCCATTCTTGCTTGATGGGTGCCCCTTCAGGGAGCACAGCAGCCTGGAGACCTTGCCAGAGCTCAGGAAACCCATGTTGTCTTCTTAGGTCTGTCATATGGCTTTAGGAAAAGTAGTCTGTTACCTCCTTTCCAGCCCCCAAACTGCCTGCCTCATCTTGGAGACCAGCTTTGGGACCTTCATCTCTTGGGATGCAGGTAACCGTAGGCAGGCTGCGAACTGGGATCACAGCATCCCCTCTGGGCTCGGCTGGCATGAGGGCTTGTCCATGACTGCTCTCTTGTGTGTGTATACACTTGGAGAGACGCGTGTGTCCTTCCCGGTAGCCAGCTGGGGACACGCCTGAAGCCAGGCCAGAGGTCTAGCAGGGAAACCAGGCGGTGGGGGAGCATCCCAGACCCACCCATGAGAGGGGTCCAGCCCCTTACCCCCATCAGCACTCGACTTCGGACCTGCAGAGATCCACTCCAACCATTCCCCAGGCTTTTCAGGGCAACGTGTGTCTGGAACAACCTAGTTCCCTCCACCTAACTACAGAACAAGCCCAGAATTGCCAGACGAGAGACAGGAAACTGCTACTTATCTAATTTGATTTTATTTTAATTCCTTTTTATTTTTTGGGCTCTCAGAAATGTGTTCAGTCTGGATTGAGGTTACAACCTGGGTAATGCCTCCCTGCCTAAAAAAAAAGGCTGTTACCATAACAACCTGACTCTGCGCTTCATTACCATGGCAATTCCCAGGAATTATTAAATACTGTGTATGTTTGGTGCACGCGCTCCAGTACATCTGGTGCCAGGCTCAGGTTGGGATCCTCCCTCCCCCCTAATCTGTCTGTCTCATCTTGTTTAACTCTTTCATTGTCCTCAGCCAAGACTGCCAGGGCAGGGAGAAGGAGGTGGGTATCGTTTGGGACTTGGTCTGGGTTTTTCCCCACCGCAGGCAGGACTGTATGAGCAGGGTTGCTGGGTTTTCTGAGGTGGGTCAAGCCACCTGTTTATTTCTCCAATTGTAAAATCAGTGATTACAGAGGTAGAGGATTTCTTTTTGCAGGCATGCTGCTCAGCAGGGGGAAATGCTCTCACACCTGCCTTTCTCTGTTGTTTGCCCGCTCCCTGTCTAGAAATAAGAAATTCTAGCTGGAACAGAGTCACGGCAAGTGGCGACCAGCCCAGAGACAGAGAGCTGTTCCTGAAGGAGGATTGTGAAGGTCCAGTGCAGGTTGCTCTTGGTGGGGGTCAAGAAGCAGTTTCCCATTACTAGGATAACTTGACTGACCATGTACTGCCTAAAATCATGATTGTTTTCAGAGAAGGGATGCAGACTAGATGGTGCTCAGACCACTGTGGCCAGTCCCACAGGATTGCATTGGTATCTTGTATTCCACTGCTAGGAGATTTTAAATGAGACTCAATGGCTGGTCCTCACTCTGCCACTGATGTAATGATCCACCTAAGCATGTCCCTTCTTTCCCTCTCTGTTGTACTTTATAGCCAGCAGCGTCTCTCAGTCGTACTTGTACCGCTCCTGGCACCCCAGTGATGTTCTGGAAGCTAACATGCTACAAGTAACAATTAAAAAAATTAAATCAAAATAACATTAAACCAGCCTCATTCAAAAAAAACCTGCTTAAGTTTTCTTGGGAGCCAGTACCCACTTGCGAGCTTAAGCTAAATGAGTAGGCGTGAGATGAAAAAACACAGCTATTTGTGGGGAAAGGCAGCAGAAAGAGCCGTTATGGTCTGCTTTCCTTACGCAAGCCCTGGAGTAACCACCTCCTCCTCTGGCTGCAGGACTCATGCCTCTGGGGCAGGGCAGCTGGGTTTTCAGGGTCTGAGATGGCAGCTCTTTCCCTGAGATCTGGGGAGCATCATGGTGCTCTCAGCACCCTCCCTTCCACCAGGCATGACCTGCACTGGCATCTGCTCTGTGTGAACAGGATGGGGAAGGAATCGGGGTAGTTAAAACAGCAACCATGACTTCACCTCAAGGGGGTCTTTAGACCCCAAATCTCTAACCCAAGGGGCTCCCTCACCATGCCAGCCCTCCGTTGCCTTCCTTCTGGTCTCCCCTTGCCGTCTCAGTGCTGGCATCAATCCTCCAGAGATCTTCTTTTCCCCAAATAATTCCTCCTCTCAGCCTTTTATTGGGAATCTAACAAGATGGGGACTTGTGTGCAAGTGTCTTAAACCCACTGCAAGCAAGACAGAAACCCAGTAACCCCCATGGGGACACATGCCATGTAGTATGGCATATGTGGATGGTGCCCACCAACTGTTTCACTCTGCAGACCCTCTTCTGTTGGTCCACATGACCTGGTAATGTAGACATAGCCCTCATGGTCAGGAAAGAGACACAGCACAACTAGAGGATGAATAAGCCAATGTAAAGTTCAGCTCTTGCCCCAAGGGGCCATGTGGAAAGTCTTCCCTCTCCTAATTGACTCCTGAGCAAGCTCCATCTGTCTCAGCAGGTGCCCAGCTCTCCTTTCTGGGGCATTACATTGCTCCTCCACCTCATGTATACACGACCCTACTGTGATTGACTTTTCTCCTTTCCTCTGGAAGACTCCACAGCACAAAAGGCACGAAGACCCTCACGCTCCACTCCTGGATGTGGCCTCTAAGGACACTTGGCGAGGTGGTGGCTATGTGGGATTGCAGAGCCATGTTTCCTCACTGGGCAGCAGGACCCCTCAACACACACACCAGCTCTCACAGCCCCTGGCAGAGCAAGGCAGGTAGGGACAGCTGAGATAATTTAACCAGCTTCTTCACTCAGGGCATTGCTGCAGGTCAGTTAAGATGATTTTGATACTTTCTTTGGATTAGCAGCTTTTCCTGTGCCTTGCTTGCATTGCTAACACCGGAAGGTTTCTTCTGTCATCTCTGAATTCTCCCTTGTGCTGGGGCCGTGGCTGGTGGATGGATTAGCAAGAGGGACCAAATGCCAGCTTAAAGCAGAAGCTGGATGGGAGTTTAGTGAGTACATCTGGGCTGTCCTCTGATAGCACAATGACCTGAAGATGCGGTTACACATTTAAGTTATACATGGAGGCACACTCCTAAGTGTTTGCAGAGCTGGGTCATCGTATGCATTGGGGTTATTTGCATCTCACCCTGATGTCGTGACCAGGCTGTGCTCCCACAGTGGGAGCGGTTTGCACTCATATGCAAAGAGATCAATGGCCATAACACCCCCTGCAGCAGCAGGGACCAAAATCCTCTTCCACGCTGCTGTGTGAAGCCACTTTTGTATCTGCCAGCAGGGCAGCAAACCCTCCGTGCTGAGAAGGCTGCTCAGGTATGCAGACCTACAAGCTGCTCACAAAAAACAGAGCCCTGCCTGTTCAGCCATTTCACTGGCACCAACGGGACATTTCAGAGCTTTAAATCCCAAATTCTGGTCCTGCTGCCACGTTGTCTTTGTGCTCTTAAGGCATTACAGACAACAGGTTAGTGGGAGCAACCAGTGCCAGTGCTGCACTAGTCCTGCTCTGCATCGGGTTTAGTCCACCAATACCCTGTGGGAACCCTGAAGAAGGTGCTCAGCAAATACTGATTAATTACAAAACATACTCTAATCTTGTTCCTCCTGGGAAAGGCAGAGAGCTGTTCTTCTGGATTTACATCCAAGTAGATCAGATCATCAGCTCCTCCAGTATCCAGGATTGCTTTCCCACTACAGAAGTGGACCCAGCAGGAATATTGTTGGCGCAACAAAACTCAAATTATTTCCATCTCACACCCACAGACAGAGCTGTAATTCCATCACAGAACAAAGGTCAGGAGTCCTCCTCCTCTCACATAATTTAGTTTTGACAGCTCATCAGGATCAGAGGAGCTGGAGATTTTAACTCGGAGGCTGAAATCTTGCTTTGCAAGTGCATCTTCATGAATCTCTGCTTCAGTACTGTGCAGGTATTTAACACAAGCTGAAATACATAGTTCCTGACGAATTTATTTGCTAGTGGTAACTGATACTTGCCTGTGAAAAATGTGTGGTAGTTTCTGCTTTAAAGAAATACCTCTAATTAGAGTTCAATTGGAAGGTGAGATGATTATATCTGGAACTAGGATTGAAATACCTGAACTCCGCACAGAGAAAGAAAATGAAGACAACACAAAATTCTTTTGAAACAGGTTCTTTTTTTCCTGAATGTTCACCAGTTTTCAAAAAACTACAAAAACCTCAAGGACTGTAACAATATAGCACTTGATAAAAGGCTGTTGTGTACAAAAACAAGCATGCTTTTGTTTTGGGGTTGGAGTGGGGTTTTGTATTTATCTGGGTTCTTTTCTTCTTTCAGCATAGTGTGAAAGAAGAAAGTACCAGTTTATTTAACAGGATAGCTCAGAAAAATAAGGAAGAACATGCTTTCCCCATTACAAAACTACCAGAAGATGCATGCTTGAGGTCCGGAATACAAACAGACTGACACATTTGTAGCATGCAGATTTTGTTGTACGACCCACACGGCACTTCCCTTCCCCTGCCCCGTGGTCAAAGATGTGGTCCGTGCCATGCATTTTGCTTTCCCTTTAGTTTGTTTTTTTGTTTTCTTTTTGTAGTGAGTTATTTGCCTTTTTTTTTTAGCCCCAAATCCCAGGTAGCGGTATCCAAGGTAACAGCAGAAAAGAGTCCAGATCTGCACATTATCACTGTTTCTGCAAGTTTCATGCAAAACTTAAGCCATTTCTGCATGCAACATGATGCTGGTCATTTATTGTGCTTCATAAAACTCTGGGGAGATTTCCCCATTCGCCACGACAGAGTTTGTTGACTGGGAAGCGCAGGTTTGCTTTCCCATGGACACAGACATATTAAAAGACCCCTCCCCCCCTTTCCACTCCCCCCCCAGCTGCCCCAAACACATGGGAACGTGCATCTCAGCACCAGGTCCAGACAGTTCACTTGCCTACAAAAGCCCGGTGGCTTCAGTAAAGTCCCATGATTGCAGCTCCCACATCCTTGGAAGGTCTTCGGTCCTTCACCAGAAAGTTAATCATGCTCTCTGACTTAATGAGCAAGTTGCAGCCCAAAAAGAAGATGCCGAACATCACAGTCAAGGAGAGGACGCAGAGGACAGCAATCTGCACCACCCGCGTGATGTAAAGGCTCCTCTCGTCGGGCGCCAGGACCGAGGAGCCACCGTCAGTCGCCAGCACCGAGCCGGTCCCGTTGCAGCAGGCCATGAGCATCCCCAAGCCCTGGGTCCTGTTGGGGTCAGCTCCCTGCTCTAGGAGAGTCTGGTTGAAAAAGGATCCATTCATGGTCTGTGCGTGATCCCAAATCTCCAGGGAAGGCAAGAGGAAAGCTTGCTGTCCCCCTGCCCACCCCTCACATGCCAGGGCTCAGCGCCGCGGGCCGGCGGGCTCTGAGCCACCTCCTGCCTTTCTGCTTCCCACAACACCTCGGATGGAGGGGAAACTTCCTCGAGGCTGCGAGCAGGTGGGAAGCCAATTTGTGCAGCCGAGGGATGGCTCGCTCCCGGATCCTTGGCACAAGCAGTGTTAGCACAAGCCCCCAGACAAGCAAAAAGAGAGAGAGAGAAAAGGCGAAGGGGGTGCAGGGGAGAGGAAGACAGCTGAAGATCGTCCCATGCCTCCCGCCCTCGCCGCTGCCCCGAAGCTGCCACCCCGAAGCACAAGGCAGCGGAGCGGCGCAGCCCGTTCCCCCGGGGGCTCTACTGCAGGAGGGAGAGCTGATTCCTGCCGGCTCCACAAATGCAAGTTCCAACGAAGCACAAGGCAGCGGAGCGGCGCAGCCCGTTCCCCTGGGGGCTCTACTGCAGGAGGGAGAGCTGATTCCTGCCGGCTGGGAGCTCCACAAATGCAAGTTCCAAGCTAAAGTCTTCACCGTGTTCAAAGAAAAAACAGCAACTCCACCCCCTTCCAGCCTCCCCCCAGGACCGCCTTCCTCCCCCTCCACGCTCACCCAGGCTGCCCACCCCTTCCCCACGCGTGTGCACCCCCCCTCTGCCCTGCCAGGGGTGCCCACACCCACCCTTGTGCCACCCCCAGGCGGGGGCTGACCCCTAAGGCCCTGCGGAGCGGCACCTAACTCATCCTTCCTCCCAGCCCCCCCACCTGCTCCCGAAACCAGCCTGCAAGGTCGGTGTTCATCCTGGACAGCTAGCAGGTCCCTGTCCCCCCCCACGCAGGCCCCCGTCAGCCTCAGGTCAGTGCCGCTCTCGCCGATCCCCAGTTGCTGCTCTGTGCCACCCACTCCTTCTTAGAGCAGTGCTGGCCCAATCCAGCCTGGTCCACCCCCAGCTCTGCTCAGTGATGCCTGTCCTGTGCTTCCAGATGAGAACTGGATCCATCCCCCTCTCTGCATCCTTGTCTTCCTCGGGCTGGGGGTTTCCTCCCCGGGCACCTTTGTCTCCCTCTTCTCCCTCTCCTGCTTCTTTAGCCCCTTCGAAGGGGAGCACTGCGATGCTGCACCCTGATCTCTGCCCGATACCCCTTTCCTGCCCTGTCCCCAGCTCTGGGTCCTACAGCAGCATCACTGCTGCACCCAGGGCTGGAGCATCGCAAACCCTCTCCCTTGGGCCCCTCAGCCCCACCGAGGGAATCCCAGGGGAAGTTTCATCATCGCTCCCCTCTCCTTGTCTGTGTAAGCTCCCAAAGTGAAAGCATAAGTCGGGGTGTCCAGCCGTGTCTGGCTTAGTCCCAACCCTGCCCGTCCCAGGGCTGTGCCTGTGGAACTGCCATGTCCCGGTTTTCCCGGCTTTGCCCATTGGTATTTGCCTGGAAACGTATCTGGATGGCATAGAAAGATCACTCTCGAGCCACAATGTGGGGACCTTGTCCTGATTTATCTGTGTATATCTTGGCTCCCTTTCTTTGCCCAGCCCTCAAAGGGGATTTAATAAACCTAAATGAGAATTGATACATTGCCACTAAAGGCAGGAGCGTGCGGCTGGCTGGCTGAGGATGGCGGGTGGCTTGGTGGAGAAAGTGTCAACTGATTTTCCTTTTAGGTGGCTGGGACCTGTGTCCCTGTTCTGCTGCTGTGACTTTAGGGGCTCAAAAGCTGTTTGGGTTGGGTTTTACTTGCTGCTTTTTCCTCCTTGTTTTGCACGTGGCGTTTCTCTCCCTGAGGGGCTGCCCGGTCTGTGAGGGCAGTTTGCAGCAGAAGCACTTGCGGGAGGGAGGTGGAAAGCCCTGATCGAACAAGAGCATCTGCTCCTGCTTAACCTGAGGGCCAGGAAAAATCCCCACGGGAAACCAGAGCATCCCCAGTGCCCCAGCCCGGGTGGGAGCTCCTCTCCCCGGCTCGCTCCCAGACTGAAGGAGTTTCTGCTCCCTCTGGTGGCTCCAGCTCCAGCCTCTCCTCTCCCCGCACGCCCGAGCACGGATTCAGGCTGCTGCACCCACCGCTCCTGGGTCACAGCTTGCTGTGATGGGGCAGCCGGGGCCCTGGGGCCGCTCAGCTCTCAAACACCCCTGCCTGCTTCTTGCCTTAATCCAAACAGGGACTTCAACACCCAGAGCATGCCATTAGCTATTACACAGTGCCCAGAGTTAACATCACGGCGATGTTTTCAGGACAAGCAGCACCTTCTTGCAGTCAGCAGGGAAATTCAGTCCAAATGTGCTGAATTAAGTTCATGCCATCCTTGTCCTCAAGCAGGACGAGAGCTCAGGCAGGTGCAGGCTGGTCAAATACTTCATTTTGTGACTTTTCCTTCTTCTTCAAAGTTTTTGCACCATGCTGGAAGCAAGGGCTGGAGTATCCCAGTTTATTCTGGGCAGGGAGTTTCAGGACACACAGCGCTGTGTGTCCCTTTGGAGCCTGCAGCAGTTGCTAGTTCAAGCAACCAGCTGCTTGGCAGGATGAGTCCCCCAGCGAAGAGGGCCTGCAAGATCGATGGCAGGTCGGATCTGTGGGGCGTGCAGAGCCAAGCAGGGCTTCCACAGTTCTCTCTATAGAAACGTAGACAAATTCATCGTGCCTTCCACGAAGCATCAGATGTGCTCACGGGGTGGTACAGGGACAGGCTGCCGCATGGCCAGAAAACCCTGCACAACAGGGAAGGGCCACACAGACAGCATTTCCAGGCAGGGAGAGAAGGACCCGTGAAGGAAAAGCAGGAATTTGGATGCCCTAGAACTGGCTAATGGGGTCTGCGGTAAGAGACGGCTCTGGGATCTGGAGCAGGGTGAGACCTAGAGCCCCCCAGGAAGCAGGTTTGGGGTTTGTATTGATGTCCCAGCCAAGGTGCAGCCCTTTTGGACACTGCGTGAGGGTCAATGGGCTTCTCCTAGTCCCCTTTACCAAATCCTCATTACGTGGGGAGGGAGTTGGATCCCGGGAAGAAAATGATCCCCCGCTGAGCGAAGCCCACGCAGCCGCGGGAGGGCAGCAGCACCCCGCAGGGAAGGTGGGGCTGAGTGGGGAAGCAAAGAGGCATCAAAATTTTTAAAGCCAAGAAAAGTCCCCGGCTCCCAAGGCTGAGCCCCCATCTCCATCTCACCCTGGCAAACACCATCATCTCTCGTTGAGAGCCGTACGGCTCTGGGGCAGATGCCGTTATCCCCATCTCTCCCGGCGTGGGGCTGTGGTTCTCGTCAGCGCCTTGCACATCGCCCTGCAGCTTCCGGCACCGCCAGGCTGCGGCTGCAGCTCTCGGCACCCACACGGGCTCGTTTTCTGCTGCCTGGCGTTTCTGTGTGTTGGATTGTCCTGATCCAGAGTTCTGTCATTACTGTCCCCAACCCCTGTCATCTGATGGGAGGGAGCAGCCCAGGGCTCCAGGGAAACAGTCCTTCTCTCCCTTTTGCTGCCCAGCCCATATTTTGAGTGCCTCAGTTTCCCCATCTCTGAGAAGGACCTTGGTATCGCAGGGGAACAAGAGTTTTATAAAACCCCTTCGGGAGGCACCCTCAAGCAGCTCCGGCATTTCAGCGGGGACAATTCTTGTGCAGATCCGACTCCCTGTACTTGCTCAGTGCATTTGCTCCATTTCTGAGGACACAGAGGGGAAAAAACAGTACAAGAGAGAAGAAAATCAGGTCCAAATTATCCGACCCAAAGCTGAAGTTCCCTCCCTTTGCAACATCCAGGTTTATACCCAAACTGTTGGTTTCACCGGGTCCAATTCTTGGCTGCGTCTCACTCAGCTCCCAGCTCCATTTCAGCAGAGATATTCCCATTTGCACCAGTGCTCTGGGGAGGGGAGCTGAGAACCCACACTTTCCTATCTGTATGTATTTGATCTATTTCCCCTTAAATCCTTGAACTCAGAGGCAGCTCAGACTGGGTTTAAAACCCAGGCTGCCTTTCATGCAAGAGTTAATAAAAGGAGGGAGTGAGCAAGATTTTGCAAGGAATTAAACCCAGGCGAAAGAGCCTATGGGAAAGAGCCTGTTACCAGCCCCAGGGCTGTAGGTCACCAGTGCCGTGTACTTGCTGCCGGGGTTTATTAGGTCCTTGTCTGAGCTGAGAGCGCAAAAAAACCATGAGGAGCTGCAGGCAGAGCGGGCGGGGGCACTCCCTGACTCAAAACTGAGTGATGAGCCAGCGCAGTTTCCTCCGGCCGGCCCCGCTCACCACGTGTGTCATACACCCAGACTCATGATTCATCTCCTGGACTGCTCAAAACCTCCGGCTGCCCCAGAGCCGCTCTCCATCGCTCACAGCGGGGCTGGTCCAAGCAGCCCCCCACACTCGGGGCTCGGAGGAGAAGATGGGAAAACTCTACGTGGCTCTCGGGATCCTTGTGCTCTGCGCTGCTGGCAGCTGGGGTAGGTTTACAGCCCGTACGTAGCACTGTCGCTTGCTTAAAGCCAGGTCATTTAGTGATTATAGTGCCTGTTATTTCCCCAAATCCCAGGACTTTCCGCATTCCCAGGGTCTGCGATTTCCCAGGGGAATCGCTCGGAGGGGGACCTGGCAGCCTGAAACCTCGGTGTGGTTCCCAAATACAAAGCACCGCTCAAGCCGGTTGGGCTTCGGCTGGGTCAGGGCCAGGAGGGTTCCTCAAAGATGCTATAGGGTCAAGACAGGGTTTGGTGCATTATTCTCGCACTGGGTGTGGCAAGTTTATGTTCTCTACCTACGCTGTGTTTGGCTCCGGGTACTGGTTTGAAATGGAAGGACTGGGGTGTGACTTGGGCTCCGTCCTTAATAAACAGAAAATACGCTGAGGGAGTTTGCAGGGCAGGTAGTCGCTGTATCCGTGTTATTTTAAGGGCATGGAGGGTATTTAAGTCAGCATTGCTGTCTTGTGTTATTTTTTCTCATGCTATTTTGGTGCTTTTCTTTA